CCCTCACATTCAGCTATCGTGATGTCTCACTTTCATACAAAGCATTACGGTCACTAGATTTGTTCTCATTCACAGTTTTATTTCTCCTCATTCGAAATTAGGTCATCGGCTTTTACCAGTTCATAGTTTACAGTGTCGTTTGCCCAAAATAATGCTCTTATATTTTGATTATTTAGGACCTTTATGATCTATTGTAAAGTGATATGGAATCACCACTGAGTTGACCCATCCTTTTCGTTTGACATTTTTCTCATCTTTTCGACCTTCCTTAAGCACTATTTTACAAAGTCTCTAGTATGATTCTTTATCATAAAACTGGACGTCACTAAATTCATTTTTGCTCCTTTGTCACATGTCTCAGCGACAGGTTTTTAAACTCTGCTTATCGAAGTCTTGGCAACTGTTATCTTAATAGAATGCCTATGGATTGGCTTGTAGTCTACGTATTTCCTAAGATATGTTGGCTTTTGGAATGTCCATATGACGCGAAAAAACTACAGTTTCTAGACCGAAATATGAGTAAGTAAGGAATCAAAACGCTTGGGAATAAAATTGAGGATATCAGAAACCTTCCACAAAATGAATTGGTAAACAAACTATTTCGGATCTCGGGAAAGATTTACTTATATCAACGTTTTATTTCCCATTCTATTGTGATTCTATAACATTAAACGGGACAGCAATAGCTTCAATGGCATTGACTTATTTAAGTTCAGATTCTGATCCAACACTGATCTGGTTCACTGACATATCACAATCAGCAGTAGGCGCCGTGCCATAATAACATGTACTTGATGAATTCAAACTGCTAGTCTTTTCTTCAACGAAACTGGAATCTACTCAGACACGATACAGTACATCCAGAACAGAAATCTTAAGTGCTTTTTTAACTGTAAGACGTTTTATTCATTTACTCCAAAGGGGAGATTTTGGAATACTCATAGATCACAAGCGTTTAATGTGTGCTTTCCTCTGTTGTTAACAATGACCGTCACTCTCCTAGAAGAACTCTGCAACTCGGTTTTTCATAGCTTCCAACAAACATTCAATATATCGAAATAAGAGCAAATGTCGGCGCTAATACTTTACCCCAGTTAGATTCGAATGATGTAGCACTATTAAAAGGTTTTAGCTTACAGGAAGTAGTACGACCGTAAGGAGATAAATATTGACCATGCAGCCTGTCGGGTAAAATCCAGTTTAAAACGGAGAGATATTTCTGTATCAGTTGCACAGTCGACGATCGCCTGAGACATATCTGCAGGAGTTGAGCGACTTTGCGCTCAAATGACCCACGGAAAGACAGTCGTCGATCAACTTCGTTCATTAACCTAACCAGGAATATGCTACTGTTGAATTCATCTCAGACGTCTGTTCGGCCAACAATGGACAAAAATATAGAACGATGGATCCGAAATTGTTTCCGATGTCAGCACAGTACAATTCACAGGGATACAATTGAATAACTAACCAAATTCAATTTACTCGATCATCGTTCTCAACATATTCAAATTAATTTAGTCTGTCTACTGTCCCAATCTCATGGTGTTATTTAAACTCTAATTTCAGTGGACCATTGTGCCAGATGAACAATTGCATGTCCTGTAAATGACATCTTCGTCGGAAACATCGCTACTGCATGTTTTAACAGATGGTTCTCTAGCATTAATGCATCTTCAACGACTACCTCCCACGGGGATTCGCAGTTTCAATCGGACCAACTTGGCAAGTTTGCTCGTATTCTCGACACTCATCGCATCAGCACAACAACATACAATCCATCAGCAAATAAACTAGTCGATAAATTCAAAAGGCAACTAAGAAGCTCGCTTAAGGCACAACATGACTTAACTAGATTGGGCATACGTTTTCCCGTCAAGGAAGACATACATTTTAATACTGCACAGCTTGTTTGTGGAAGAAATTATAGTCTGACAGGCCAATTTGCAACTCTTAGGCACGAAGTTGTATACATTAACCCTATGTCGTTTCTCGAAAGACAGGAGAGTCATATGAACCATATAAAGGAACAAATGAGTGTGTAAGTCAACATGTGCAAAATCGTTTCAGTTCGTGTAGACGCACTCAAGCATCATTTGCAGCATCCAGATGAAGGATGTTGAAGTAATGAAATAAGGAAGCAAAGGCTCCACAGTTATCGACAATAGAAAGAAGAATACAGTCGCAATTAATAGACTTACGTAAGTGGTGCTGACAAAATAATACAAGTTTTACAACTTATCAGCAATCCAAAGTTTTTGAGAGATGGTACAATGAACTGATATTGAGAAGAGAACTAAACCAGTATCAGTGTGTGGTTAACATAACAACGGAATAAAAGTGAAATAGGAAGTCAATTTGCGAAATAATTCGAATAACAATGTTGAATAGAATGGATGTATAAACGAACACTAAACAAGTGATCAAGTAAACAACTGATGGTCATTTACAATGTGACAACCAATATGCTGAAACAACATAATCAAGCGAAGCTACTTATTTGAGAAAACATCGGTTAAATTCATGAGCATAGTTCCATTCACTTTCCAACATCTAATTGACACAATCTGGTAATGCAACCATGTGGACTAAGTTGTCTATAAGTTTAGTATGGACCTATGGGTATGATACGATTTGTGAATCAAGCCGAATCAGATAAAAACGTGACATTTATCCTCAAAAGTCCCGACAAAGTGAATGGACAAGATTATCTGTGTAGCAAGCTTTATTAATCAAGTAGTGATACTTTAGTTGGTGTTTGGTGACGTGCACGTAGGATGACGCAAGTCGTTTGTGTACAGGTAATTTTCTTGTCCTAGGTTAACGGTTGAGTTACTCATTGAGACACGCTCCCTCCTCCACTTGGCTAACCGTAAAACTTTGATATAGTATGATAAGCCTTGATAAACTTTATCCCGCTTACTCGGTTTACCAAAGTGAGAGTTTTCTCTCAAACGTGATATATTAAAACACAAATTTCACAACTACAACTAGAAAAATGTTCAGAAGCGATCAAAACTTAGAGGACTGAAATAATTCCTGAAGCCAGTAGCCTACTCATTACTTTCGGTGTATGATTCATCAAACAAATATAGCATCATACTTGTTTCAAGCAAGCTAGTAGTTTAGCTTAGAAATCTTCGAATTCGGCATACATCGGTGTGGGGAGTATGCAAAAGCCTCGACTTAATTTGACACAGATGACTGAACACAACTTCTATCAATTGTATATGCCAAATGTTTCGGTGGAAATGCTCCAACTTCCTGGATAAGTGATTGTTCTTTCAGTAATTTGTAGTTACCTTTTCCCAAATAGTGTTGTGTGTTGGATTTAGGACACCCGTGCTTTACTGAAACGAATGAACGTGAACACGTAATGCCGGACATTGTGTTGCCGAGATATATACCATGTATAAAGCATAATGAAGAATTTATTACTAGTAACATACATACCCGCCGTTTTCAGCCAACAACCTAGTCTTGATTGTGGATATGCTGAACATCTGAATGAGAAAACATCATGAATAGACGGAGTTTCTTAAAAACTGCTCAGTGTAAGGAGAAAATTCTTCACAAAGACACATCACCGATTCCGAGAACACCTCAGATTATATTCCGCAGCCCCATTCAATGTAGTTCACATTGAACATCTAGTGTACAGAGCTTTGCAGGTCTGAAATGCAACCTATGAAATGTTTACAGTGGATATCTCATCACGTATCTTGTTAGGAAATGATCAGTGGCTGTTGAACGCTACTCTCAACAATAAAACAAAAACCTTCCCTAAACAAGTTCTTTCATGTTAGTTTCATCTGACAATTTACTGGTTAATTTATTACCTAAACCAAAGCGTTCATTTTTGTCGGAGTAATTTGAGTCCCATACATTTTGTATGTTGTAGGGAGAGCGCATTTGCATCCGAATAGCAATAAATACAATAGTAAAAAAACATTAACAATCGTTAGGTCCGGATATTGAACTGTTTTAGTGTCTGTCTCAGTTTTGAAATTTCGGTCACGCTCTCTCTTCAAAAGGCGGTAATATCCAATAATTTCCTTATAATAACATGACAAACGTTGAAGACGGTGCAGAAGATGTCCAGGAGAGTCACTTATTGGTATTCCTTCCAACTGGTTCAGACACTCGATAAAACCCAATTATCACATTGGAAAAAGTATTCATACCAGTCAAGAAACCATATTCTAGTCAAAGAAGGAGGGTAGGTCAATTCAATTTGCTCCGAATATGAGCGGTTGATAGTGAATAATAGCAAACGTCTCTAAAGTCGAACAGGGAATGTACTTCGAAATCAACATCAAGAGGCACAAATGATCAGTTCACCAAGTATCAACCAAAGGCTGGCAGACCAATATGCCGAGTGCCATAAAAACAATGTTAAGTAAAACAAAAGAAACGTTTACTAAAAGACTCAACAACACCAAGAAAATAGTAGGGATTTGGACACTACAATTATAGTAGACAATATAGTAATGACAACTGCAATCAAACTCAAGAATGGTAATCAGTATGCAAAACATAGACGACAATAAGAGAAACAGTACAAACTACAGGAATCCAAAGGTCTAGTCACAAGAAAGAACAGATATGGAGACATCTCCATGTTTGCACATGATCATACAAAAATAGGCCCTACAGTAATAATTCCATCAAATTGAATATTCAACCTAATCTGTTCTGTGCAACCACACTAATGGTAAGTAATCTCAATCAATCCTACATCCAGTGCAGTCATACATAAGCAACCAATAGACAATACAATCGTAGTTGATTGTGCTGGAGACAGACATAGTTAGAAAGCGTTAGACAGTGTCGTTTTATACGGGAAATAAACAAGCAAATCAATAAACAGATAGACTGACAGATGGAGATCAAAAATCAAACAAGCCATAAATTTTAGAAGACAGAAGACAGTGTCCAGGAATATCGTTTTATTTATTTGTCAGCAAACAAGGATTTCAAAGTGTAGAATCAGCCGTCCATCAAGTTTTCACTGTTTTGTTTGCTCTTTTTTTCGACTTATCAATACCTGGGAACGGGAAAATGGAAAGCAAGAATAATCAGCTATTGATCTCGGTCGCAAGTATGAACGGGTAAATACACACGGTTAAGTACATGTGCCGAAAAACTGACGAGATGACTGACAGTGTGAGGGACTGCTTCAGCGTGACAGATTGGACGTAGTGGAGCGAATGAACGGCCATCATTCCCCAGTATAAAATATTACATACAGAATAGGAATGGAGAACCGACTGTAATAAACTGAATTTGCATGAGAGGTTGATGAGTTACATGAGTGAGTCACAGGTGGTGAATATAGAAATATCGGGTCAATAGGTTTCATATTTTAAATTTTGGAGTGGGAAATGACTATCACTGGACTTACCATACACCTTCATCCAGTCTCTCCTAGGTTTCCCCTTACCAGGGGTGCCTGAAAAAGTGCCAAAGTGGGTGTTGATTAGTCAAAACTCTTCAGGGTACAATGATCATTAATATATATATATATATATATATATATGGGGTGGTGTGCAGTGAATGAATGAGATGTTGAGTCCACTATATGTGGTGACTTATGCTGTTCACGAGGCTTAGATTTTGATCCAGGGAATCGACCTGATTTTTTCAATGGTGCCTCCACTACTGTGGCAGGCTTAGATGGAGAAGCTCAATATGGATGGCCAAACCAAACCAAATGTGTATTTCATGGAAATCACGGGACGATATAGGTTAGAAAACCATCGAGAAACCGGAGGCACTGTGCAGTTGCTTTGTCTGGGTATGGGACTCCTCACCAGCGCATATCTACAATCCCAAAACCGGGAGTTGAACACAAGACCTCCGGTTTCTCTCGAGAGTGCTTAACCTCTGGACCGCTGGATCGGGTTACAATGGTGCGCATGTCTAACTTCGTGACTTCGACGAGATTCAACAGTTTCCACGACTTCGTACCGATTAAGTGTGCATTGTTCACAAACATAGGACCTCTCTATTTAACCAACCTACCTTAAAAGCTATCTATATTGAGGATGCTCAGATTGTTTTAAACATCCAGTCGATTTGATAAGATACTGAAACAACTTAAATGGTCCGGCCAATCGCTTTTGATAAGATAGGGCCTCAAAAGAATGTACTTCAAATGACAGATCTGCTTTAACTAACTACCGTTGTATATTTCCTACAAAGTTACTGCCACGAGCGATTCTCAAACCACTCAACGAAAATAGTACGACTATGAGTAACCTGTCAGTTAACAAATGAAATAGGTTCGATGTCCCTATTGCCACAAGCCTTGTTTATTAAACTCAACCGTTCACAATTACTGTTTGGTTACTGATCATGTAATCTGTGCACAATTTGTATCGATAGCATTAGGTTCTGATGAGAATAAAAGTATTTTGAGAGTGTAAAAGTTGGAGTACTTGAGTTTTCATGTTTTCAGATGTTACTGCCGTAAATATAGAGGAAACCAGCCACATCGATTCATTTGAAAGACTCGTAGTATCTACTACTGACACATTGGGTGCAAGTTAGTGCAAGCCCTCCTATGTGAGTAAAATACTTGATTGACCGAGTGAAAATGCTTTCTTAAAATTTAGGTACATGTTGCGTTGATGCACACAGCTAGAACACATACTTTTAACAATCAATGGCATAAATCATGTGAGAAGAATCATGCTTTATGAATCGACTTACCGGATTTGGACTTTGTAGGCACAGGAGCTGGGGCTTCAGCAGTTTCAGATGGTTTACCGGCCTCATCTATATCGGAAAGCGGAAAACAACACCTTGATAATTTAGTATAAATCAAATTTAATGAGTTCAGTCCATTTTGTACAGAATGTGGTGTTTATGGAAGAAGAATAAATGGACGTTTTGATGGTCACCGGTATCGTAAATCAATGCTGTTTACTGCTTCCAGCAATACGCTATGGGATGCGTAAGTGAGTCGCAACACATTCCAATGACGGACAGAATTACTGACCGGATAAGTGGGTGAGTGAGAGATTGAATGAGTGATAGAGGCATGTCCGTTCGTGTAAAACTCACCTTCGTCGCAGTACGTCACACTCAGATAGTTAACAGCGAGGGTAAAAATGAGTACGGCCACCTGAAAATGAAAGAAAAATCGAGTTGGTTTGGTTGGTTACACGGGTGAATTCCTTACCAATGTTCTGTCCATTTGTATGCTTACTGATTTACGATGTTCCAGTGAGATATGGACTAGAATTTATATGCTTGTGAAGTTGTCGATTTCCTAATCAACTTTGTCTTCAATAAATCGCTACCAATAACATGACGTTTTCTCATTGAACTGAAAACGTGATCGTGTTATATGTGTCATGTCACTTTCACCAGGCACACGGTTCAGTGAGATCGATTGAGAACGTTTGTGGGTTATTGAAATTACAATAGTAGTTCCTGCTCACTTATTAAAACGTACATTTTAATCATATCCAGCTAGTTATTAATAAAGGTTAAATTCGTAGTAAATCAAGAGGCTCGTGGAAACGTTATTTTAAGTCAAACGATTTTACGTCAATTAAAAAAATAACTATGAGCTTTTAACTGAATTAAAGAGAAGCACAGTTTAGTTTTGTCACATCTAACTCTCAAAGTGAGATTTCTAAATTCACACAATCGATCTCACTGAACCGTGTGCCTGGTGAAAGTGACATGACACATATAACACGATCACGTTTTCAGTTCAATGAGAAAACGTCATGTTATTGGTAGCGATTTATTGAAGACAAAGTTGATTAGGAAATCGACAACTTCACAAGCATATAAATTCTAGTCCATATCTCACTGGAACATCGTAAATCAGTAAGCATACAAATGGACAGAACATTGGTAAGGAATTCACCCGTGTAACCAACCAAACCAACTCGATTTTTCTTTCATTTTCAGGTGGCCGTACTCATTTTTACCCTCGCTGTTAACTATCTGAGTGTGACGTACTGCGACGAAGGTGAGTTTTACACGAACGGACATGCTTCTATCACTCATTCAATCTCTCACTCACCCACTTATCCGGTCAGTAATTCTGTCCGTCATTGGAATGTGTTGCGACTCACTTACGCATCCCATAGCGTATTGCTGGAAGCAGTAAACAGCATTGATTTACGATACCGGTGACCATCAAAACGTCCATTTATTCTTCTTCCATAAACACCACATTCTGTACAAAATGGACTGAACTCATTAAATTTGATTTATACTAAATTATCAAGGTGTTGTTTTCCGCTTTCCGATATAGATGAGGCCGGTAAACCATCTGAAACTGCTGAAGCCCCAGCTCCTGTGCCTACAAAGTCCAAATCCGGTAAGTCGATTCATAAAGCATGATTCTTCTCACATGATTTATGCCATTGATTGTTAAAAGTATGTGTTCTAGCTGTGTGCATTAACGCAACATGTACCTAAATTTTAAGAAAGCATTTTCACTCGGTCAATCAAGTATTTTACTCACATAGGAGGGCTTGCACTAACTTGCACCCAATGTGTCAGTAGTAGATACTACGAGTCTTTCAAATGAATCGATGTGGCTGGTTTCCTCTATATTTACGGCAGTAACATCTGAAAACATGAAAACTCAAGTACTCCAACTTTTACACTCTCAAAATACTTTTATTCTCATCAGAACCTAATGCTATCGATACAAATTGTGCACAGATTACATGATCAGTAACCAAACAGTAATTGTGAACGGTTGAGTTTAATAAACAAGGCTTGTGGCAATAGGGACATCGAACCTATTTCATTTGTTAACTGACAGGTTACTCATAGTCGTACTATTTTCGTTGAGTGGTTTGAGAATCGCTCGTGGCAGTAACTTTGTAGGAAATATACAACGGTAGTTAGCTAAAGCAGATCTGTCATTTGAAGTACATTCTTTTGAGGCCCTATCTTATCAAAAGCGATTGGCCGGACCATTTAAGTTGTTTCAGTATCTTATCAAATCGACTGGATGTTTAAAACAATCTGAGCATCCTCAATATAGATAGCTTTTAAGGTAGGTTGGTTAAATAGAGAGGTCCTATGTTTGTGAACAATGCACACTTAATCGGTACGAAGTCGTGGAAACTGTTGAATCTCGTCGAAGTCATGAAGTTAGACATGCGCACCATTGTAACCCGATCCAGCGGTCCAGAGGTTAAGCACTCTCGAGAGAAACCGGAGGTCTTGTGTTCAACTCCCGGTTTTGGGATTGTAGTTATGCGCTGGTGAGGAGTCCCATACCCAGACAAAGCAACTGCACAGTGCCTCCGGTTTCTCGATGGTTTTCTAACCTATATCGTCCCGTGATTTCCATGAAATACACATTTGGTTTGGTTTGGCCATCCATATTGAGCTTCTCCATCTAAGCCTGCCACAGTAGTGGAGGCACCATTGAAAAAATCAGGTCGATTCCCTGGATCAAAATCTAAGCCTCGTGAACAGCATAAGTCACCACATATAGTGGACTCAACATCTCATTCATTCACTGCACACCACCCCATATATATATATATATATATATATATATATATATATATATATATATATATATATATATATATATATATATATATATATATATATATATATTAATGATCATTGTACCCTGAAGAGTTTTGACTAATCAACACCCACTTTGGCACTTTTTCAGGCACCCCTGGTAAGGGGAAACCTAGGAGAGACTGGATGAAGGTGTATGGTAAGTCCAGTGATAGTCATTTCCCACTCCAAAATTTAAAATATGAAACCTATTGACCCGATATTTCTATATTCACCACCTGTGACTCACTCATGTAACTCATCAACCTCTCATGCAAATTCAGTTTATTACAGTCGGTTCTCCATTCCTATTCTGTATGTAATATTTTATACTGGGGAATGATGGCCGTTCATTCGCTCCACTACGTCCAATCTGTCACGCTGAAGCAGTCCCTCACACTGTCAGTCATCTCGTCAGTTTTTCGGCACATGTACTTAACCGTGTGTATTTACCCGTTCATACTTGCGACCGAGATCAATAGCTGATTATTCTTGCTTTCCATTTTCCCGTTCCCAGGTATTGATAAGTCGAAAAAAGAGCAAACAAAACAGTGAAAACTTGATGGACGGCTGATTCTACACTTTGAAATCCTTGTTTGCTGACAAATAAATAAAATGATATTCCTGGACACTGTCTTCTGTCTTCTAAAATTTATGGCTTGTTTGATTTTTGATCTCCATCTGTCAGTCTATCTGTTTATTGATTTGCTTGTTTATTTCCCGTATAAAACGACACTGTCTAACGCTTTCTAACTATGTCTGTCTCCAGCACAATCAACTACGATTGTATTGTCTATTGGTTGCTTATGTATGACTGCACTGGATGTAGGATTGATTGAGATTACTTACCATTAGTGTGGTTGCACAGAACAGATTAGGTTGAATATTCAATTTGATGGAATTATTACTGTAGGGCCTATTTTTGTATGATCATGTGCAAACATGGAGATGTCTCCATATCTGTTCTTTCTTGTGACTAGACCTTTGGATTCCTGTAGTTTGTACTGTTTCTCTTATTGTCGTCTATGTTTTGCATACTGATTACCATTCTTGAGTTTGATTGCAGTTGTCATTACTATATTGTCTACTATAATTGTAGTGTCCAAATCCCTACTATTTTCTTGGTGTTGTTGAGTCTTTTAGTAAACGTTTCTTTTGTTTTACTTAACATTGTTTTTATGGCACTCGGCATATTGGTCTGCCAGCCTTTGGTTGATACTTGGTGAACTGATCATTTGTGCCTCTTGATGTTGATTTCGAAGTACATTCCCTGTTCGACTTTAGAGACGTTTGCTATTATTCACTATCAACCGCTCATATTCGGAGCAAATTGAATTGACCTACCCTCCTTCTTTGACTAGAATATGGTTTCTTGACTGGTATGAATACTTTTTCCAATGTGATAATTGGGTTTTATCGAGTGTCTGAACCAGTTGGAAGGAATACCAATAAGTGACTCTCCTGGACATCTTCTGCACCGTCTTCAACGTTTGTCATGTTATTATAAGGAAATTATTGGATATTACCGCCTTTTGAAGAGAGAGCGTGACCGAAATTTCAAAACTGAGACAGACACTAAAACAGTTCAATATCCGGACCTAACGATTGTTAATGTTTTTTTACTATTGTATTTATTGCTATTCGGATGCAAATGCGCTCTCCCTACAACATACAAAATGTATGGGACTCAAATTACTCCGACAAAAATGAACGCTTTGGTTTAGGTAATAAATTAACCAGTAAATTGTCAGATGAAACTAACATGAAAGAACTTGTTTAGGGAAGGTTTTTGTTTTATTGTTGAGAGTAGCGTTCAACAGCCACTGATCATTTCCTAACAAGATACGTGATGAGATATCCACTGTAAACATTTCATAGGTTGCATTTCAGACCTGCAAAGCTCTGTACACTAGATGTTCAATGTGAACTACATTGAATGGGGCTGCGGAATATAATCTGAGGTGTTCTCGGAATCGGTGATGTGTCTTTGTGAAGAATTTTCTCCTTACACTGAGCAGTTTTTAAGAAACTCCGTCTATTCATGATGTTTTCTCATTCAGATGTTCAGCATATCCACAATCAAGACTAGGTTGTTGGCTGAAAACGGCGGGTATGTATGTTACTAGTAATAAATTCTTCATTATGCTTTATACATGGTATATATCTCGGCAACACAATGTCCGGCATTACGTGTTCACGTTCATTCGTTTCAGTAAAGCACGGGTGTCCTAAATCCAACATACAACACTATTTGGGAAAAGGTAACTACAAATTACTGAAAGAACAATCACTTATCCAGGAAGTTGGAGCATTTCCACCGAAACATTTGGCATATACAATTGATAGAAGTTGTGTTCAGTCATCTGTGTCAAATTAAGTCGAGGCTTTTGCATACTCCCCACACCGATGTATGCCGAATTCGAAGATTTCTAAGCTAAACTACTAGCTTGCTTGAAACAAGTATGATGCTATATTTGTTTGATGAATCATACACCGAAAGTAATGAGTAGGCTACTGGCTTCAAGAATTATTTCAGTCCTCTAAGTTTTGATCGCTTCTGAACATTTTTCTAGTTGTAGTTGTGAAATTTGTGTTTTAATATATCACGTTTGAGAGAAAACTCTCACTTTGGTAAACCGAGTA